TCTCAGGGCTCCTCTACTCAGACGACTCAATCTGAAATTCTTTCTTTTTTCCAAGTGTCTCCCATGGCTCACAATCTTTCCTTGGCACCTTCTCACTTTGCGATAAGTCCAACATTAAAACAAAGAAAAAAATGGCCCAGCAATAGACCTCGCCTAGTTCGTAGCTTCGCATGAGACTGAATGACAAGATCAAAACGACCAGGCCGAGTTCGTACAATTCCGTGGCTTCATAGTGGACTCCAGGAGGTCACCCGCTGAAAAATCAGGCCCTTGTGTCACCTGGCAACTTATATTTTTCTATTGGCCCGTTTTAGAGAGACTCTTCGTGCTCTCATGATTTTGAGGAGTTCATTACGGCAGAGTACATCGCGAGGAAATTAGGGAGAGATATATTGTCCGATAAGCCCATTACTCAGAGGATTTCGCTGGGTTTCTTGCCTCGCAGATGGTTGTTGCTCTGAATACGTTGTTCTAAAGGGGTAAGCACTCATCACTCATCGAACAAAGCGGCAGGAGGCGCAGTTGTTGCATGAAAGGTCCGTAAATCAGTTCCTACTCCTGCCAAACAAGCCTTTCGCGGTCAAAGGTCACTTCTTGAAAAGGTCGACGATGGGGTAAAAAACGCGAACAGATACTCAAAGTTTGTTATTTTGTATGCCAGTGTGTATTTGTTATTTTGAGGAGAGTGGGACATGGCGTTAGTCAAATTTGTGGTTACCCTGAGCTACAGGTCCTTTTTTCGAAGCAGCAACCATGAATGAAAAGTCAGCGGGGAGGAGGTAGAATAAGTTGTGACAAAAGGCTATGCGAAGGAAACTGGTTATAAACTGGGTAAAGACGTACTAAGCCATATGTCTCACACCCAGCAATCTTGTGGCTGGCAGAGCTCACCCTGACTCTGTCTTTTCCTAGATCTCTACCGTCTAACCTGCTCTATTTCAGACCGATTCACCTTCGTCACGACGTTCTTGCGGAAGTAAGCTGTCGGTTCGTTCGTCTCCACGAACGCATTCCTTCTCTTCCGCCTCGCCAATCATTTCTGAAGGGCTTTGCTTTGCGGTCAAGGAACTTTCTACGGACAAGCCATCCGATGACGGCTACTACACGCCACCGGACGCTACCCGACATAGTGGTGACATCCGAACGTCACTCATACCTTCGTTTGACACCGTGAGTGACTTTCGTTCTCTGGCCAGAATCTAAGAGAGACCAAAACTCTGGGTTGAAACATCATTGAGAGCTTCTGTGATTTTTTTTGAAACGGAAACTTCTTCACGGATTTTTTTTCATTTCTGCAATCTTGGATGCCTCGTACTTTACAAGAAAACGCAGGGACAATATCATCGCTGTGGGAAATTCCCCGCAGGACGGGAGGCGGGTCGCTATATAGGGTCGTTTGATCAAGGTGTTACTCTGCCTTCTGAAAGAAATTCGTGCCTTGAGAAAATTTCTTCCTGGTTTCATACAATGTGCGGCCTCCTGCTAGATAGAAGAATTCCTCGAAAGCAGTCTAAATTTTAATTAAATGACCTTTAAATAGATCAGGAATGAAAATAAAAAAATTTTAGAAACTCCGGAAAGACTGTGCTGGCGAGCATTGGAAACAATTCGAAAGAACAGGGTTGTAGAGGGAGACAAGGTATTTCTTCGCAGTTTTTTTCAGTTCATTTTTCCTACCTAGATTACCCGTTTTCTTTCGATCTGTTCGCAACTCCCCAGTGCAGTTCTTGCCGCGATTTCCTAAACCTTTCTTCTGAAATGTGCGCCTGCATCCGCTGCCGCTGTTACCAACCGCTTTCCGAAGGCAGACTGAAATATTATCATTCGTTTGTGGTTCAGTCAGAGGCGCATAGGGCGGCACAAAACCAACAGAATCCACCCCGGGGACAAGAAAAGTCGAGCCCAGGTTTTGAAGAGAGGTACTGTAATGCGTAAACACTGCCATTTGACAGAACCCTAGTGCAGGCTCAGTACAGTAGTGAGGGTCAAAATTCGTCCTTCGGTCATCCCTTCAGACTAGGTATTCTTTCTTTAGGTGGAGAAAAGTGGCTACTGGAATCAGATGTCCGATTCTCGATTGAAGTCGTTGAAACGAAGATTCGTCGTGCTCAAAAATAATCAGCTCAGCTTTTATAGAACCGCTGTGAGTGCTTAAAGGGATCACCATTGTCTTGAATTAGAAGAGTATTTCTTTCTACTACAGAAAACCATTTCAAAAGGAGAAGATCCCCTGATGACGATAGCCGTGTCGGACATAATTTCTGTGGCCAAGATCTGCCAACAAGGCTCTACTTACGCGTTTCAGGTAATTTACAATTGTCTTTCTTTAGCTGCCTTTTACAGTTCCTGTTGTTTCGCTTATTTCTAGTGATTTGGCGCTAATAACCTTGGGGAGGATTAAAAGAAGTATTTAGGCCGAATTTGGAGCTAACGTAATGTAAGCAAAAGGGCCGATTTTCAACTTAGGTCACCTTTCTCGAGGCTACCCCCCTCTTCCCTTGAGTGTACTTCTTCACGAAATGCAAGGACACATTTTCACCCAGAGGCCTACATATTGGTGTTAGCAGCCAGATTTTTTCAGTGGTTTATAATTTATGTTAATTTCAATAATTACAGTTGGTGACGCAATCGGCCAAGTACCATTTCATGACAGAGAGCGAAAGGACAACTCACGAATGGGTCACCACATTAAACGCCGTTATTAAAGGTGAGGTTATTATACTTGTAAGATAGTTCCAGTTCAACCTAGGGGAGACAAGGTTTATATGAAATGAAAAGTAGCAACGTTTGGAAACCA